GCCTGCCCCCCCCACCAGCCAGGGACATTTTGCAATGTCTGGAGACATGTTTTGGTTGTTCCAGCTATGCAGGAATGCTACTAAACATCCTACAGTGAACAAGGCAGCCCGCACGACAAAGAATTGTTAAGGTCCACTATATCATTGGTGCCACTGTTGAGAAACTATTCTAGGGTAGTATCTGTGCAGTAAAATGGGGTTGTCTGTCTCTATCTTGACATTGAGTTCCTTTCTTCTCATTTAGAGTAATAATGAGATTAAGCTAATGAGAACTATAATACTGTCATTCCAGGCCAAAATTCTGTCTGAGGAATGTCCGAGGGTTTTCTCACAAGGATTAGGGGATTCATTTTTAAAGTTTTTATATGAAAAGTCCCAGCTTGTTCGTGATGCATATTATGGGTTTTTTTTTTTTCCTGTTAACTGCTTGAATTCTCATCATTTATTTGATTGACAAATTCTCTTGCCCATCTACTATGTGTCAGACATAATATTAGAAGTTTGGGATAAAATTTTCTAAGATCTAGGGATATTTCATGAACATGGCATTGATTGAGCAAATGGCAGATTATAGGAGTCTAGTACTAAAATAATATTTATCAAAATATTTATTTTGATTATTTATCAAAACTGTCTAAACATTAGTACTCCCAACAGTAATTTTTTTTTTTTAAGATTTTTTTATTTATTTGACAGAGACACAGTGAGAGAGGGAACACAAGCAGGGGGAGTGGGAGAGGGAGAAGCAGGCTCCCCACCGAGCAGGGAGCCTGATGTGGGGCTTGATCCTAGGACCTTGGGATCATGACCTGAGCCGAAGGCAGACGCTTAACGACTGAGCCACCCAGGTGCCACTCAAACAGTAATTTTTTTAAAACTAGCTTGGTTTTTTTTTTTTTAGCTTGTTTTACCCATTTATTATTCATGAACAGTTAATACTTTCACTCTCTGTGAAACTGAACTATAAATCCTCTTATGGAAAGTACTGTTCCCATTTCTGAAATAGTAAGACCTAAGGATCCGCTGTCCATTGCATTTGTTACTGACATTAGCTGTTTAGTGAGCACTGATAGCTTGCCACAGTTGAACTCATTCAGATTAATTGTGACTTTACTGCTGTTTTTTGTACCAGCTGCTGCTATTGCGAGGATATGCCTTCAACCATTCTGCTGACTTTGAAACAGTTCGCATGATTAAAGAAAAATTGTGTTATGTGGGGTATAATATTGAGCAAGAGCAGAAGCTGGCCTTAGAAACCACAGTATTGGTTGAATCTTACACAGTAAGTATTTCCAGTACTTAATACATAGGGGGTTTTAAAATCGTGCACCATGATTATTGGTGTGTGCTTAAGTAGGTTTTCTTAGAATCAGTATTTTTGTTTTGAGTTGTTAGAGTATGTATATGTGTGACCTTAAATGTCTTTCTACAATAAGATTCTTTGGTTTAGTTATTTTAGGACACCATATAATGTGAAATAAGGCAAGAATCACAAATTGCTTTTCTACCTTAGGATATAATTAGATAAGAGATGTTATTTTGAGATTCTCATATCTGAAATAGCGTTTTTCAACATGCGTTTTACAGAATATTATTTCCCTGAGATGTTATTAAGTAATTTCACAAAAATTAAAGTGGAGTTTACATTGTCCAGTAAGTTTGGGAGTCAGTTTCACTTTACTGAAGAACTCAGAACCTTTGATGTGCTAATATGTGTATGCCTGTGGAAATATGGTAAACCGCCTGTTTCTCAACCTTATTAGACTACAGGGTTCCAGCATTTCATGAGACTCATGTTCTGCAAAGCATACTTTGGAAGTGCTCATCCTGTATTATTGCTCTAATAATTCAGTAGGTGGCAGTCTTTTCTTGACTTTGTATTTTCTTAATGAGATGTTCAAAACAAACGTTAACTTGAAAGTGAAACGAATAAGACTGAGAACCCAGTTATAGGTTACACCAGGAGAGTTGAATCTACCTGAATTTTTAACGTATTGTTATCTGAAGTCTATTATATTCATCTTGGTATGAAGTATTTCCATATCTCATCTTTGATCTAGTTATTATTAAAATGAAATCAAGTAATAGGCAATAAAAGCAAGTATTGGCAATAAAAGCAAGTATTCTTAAACCATTTGATTCATGTAAGC